TTTCTGAAATATTCAACAATGTTTTGGCTTTAACAGACACACTTTTGATAAAATACACAAAAATGGGCTAAAAGGACATCAAATATGTGATTATTTCAAAACAAAGCTTTAGAATTGCAAGATTAGAAGGTGAGACAACCTTGCCAATTACTTTTTTAAAGAGGTTAACTATTAGATGTTAGGCCCAAACATCTTTGGTTAAAACCCAGCTTTATTACTTACTGGCTATGACAATGGCAGGTTATTAAACTTCCTTGTGGCTCAGTTTCCTCATCTGTAAAGTGGGTCTAATAATAGTACCTATTTCCTCATAGACTTGTGGTAAGAACTAGATAAGGATTAAACATTTAGCATAATTCTAGGCACAAGAATTTGCTACAAGTGTTTGTTACTACTGCTATTTTTTTTTAATTCACAGTGTAGTAAGGGAAACATATTAATATAGGACTGACACAAACGTGAAGTGTTGACAAGTGCTATAAAAGCCTACAGTGGGGGATGAGTATAGTTAGAAATCTTCCTGGAGAATGTGACTGGAACTGAGAGCTGAAGGATGGATAGTTATTAGCCAGATAAACATATTTCAGGAAGGAAAACTAGTTTTGCATTTAGTAAATATTTATTGACAGGTATGTGCTAGGCATTTTTCTAGGGTCTGAGATAGTTAGAATGTGTGAGTAGACTTCTAACGAAATGTTCAAGGGAATCTCTGTTTTCTTTTACTGCAGGTGGAGAGTGCTGTGGAAGGGAGAGGACTGCATTAAAAGAACAAAACTGGATAAGGGTGGGGCCAGTTTTAGAATCTGGAATCTAAGGCTTAAGAGTTTAGATTTGAGTTTGAGGTTAACTGAGAATTATCTAAGGCATTTTATAAGGTAATAAACCTTATAAAATGTGGTTTCAGGACAACCACATAAAGGAGTTTAAGAAGTATAATGTTAAACCTAACTTTGTTTCACAACTTGTTATTAAATTTGAAGACAGATACTGATCTTTTGTTTGTTAAGGTCATGTGTTTCTAAGAAAAAAACCAGTAAGCATAACTTTTTTTTTTTTTGGTGCTAGGACTGAACAGGGAACTCACATGCTAAGCATGTACTCTATCACTGGGCTACAACTGCAGCCTCAATTTTCTTAATAATGACGCCCAAAGTCAACAGAATCATCAAAAAAGTAACAAAATTAAAGCCTAGTACTGTGGCATGTGCCTATAGTTCCAGCTAATGGGGAGGCTGAGGCAGTTAGCTCTCTTGAGCACAAGATTTGGAGGCTAACCTGGGAAACATAAGGAGACCAGTTTCAAAATAATAATAATAATAATAATAATAATAATAATAGTGATAGTAATAATTTGAAAAGTTTAGATATATATCTTCAGGGAGTAATGAGATGGGTCCTACATTAAAACATGATGCTTGCTTTCTTTGTAACATGGTTGACTAAAAGAGATTGACATTTAGTTGATTCTGAATTAGTGCAGAGAGTAAATTCCTTGAGTATGTTTAATACGAAGCAGTAAAAAAAAAAAAAAGCCTAAATATTATCCATACAATAATCTGGTGATTTACAAATGATATTCAGACAAGTGTTATAAAAATAGTATTGCAGTCTCTGATTTATTTTGTCATATCTTCTCCTAAGTGTTATTTTTTTAAGTAGAATCAAAAGAGCAAACTAGTAGGATTTCATTGGTAGGACTACAATATAAAGGATAAATATCTTCAATCCCATTTTATTTATTGGTACTGGGGATTGAACCCAGGGGCACTTTACTCTTAAGCTATATCTACAGTCTCTTTTATTTTGAGACAGGATTTCATTAAATTCCTGAGGTTAATCTCAAGCTTGTGATACTTCTTCCCCATTCTTCGGAGTTGCTGGGATTACATATGTGTGCTATACCTGGTTCACTGTCAATTTTAATAGAAGGATAGTTATCATGTCTAGGGAAAGTATGGTATAAAGACTAATGAAGGAACTTGAGATGCTAATATATAAAACAAAAAGGTTAGATTATATATCTAAGTTCCTTTCCTAGCTCCAAAATTTTATGGCTATTGCATATGACTAGAAAAGGGTACAAGAGAATAATAAGAAATAACAGCTAATGTAACTGTTTTTACTTGATATCCCTAGTCTTTTGTAGAGAGTCTGGTACAGTAAGTTCTCAAATGAATGACAAACAAATGAATTAATCGACTAACTACATAAAATATACACACAATTCAAAAAGCAATGTAATCCGTTCAGAGCAGAGATCCTCAGAGATTTTCCCATAGAAATTAAAAATATATACATATTTGCTTACTTTAAAAAAGATATAATTGATAATAAAGATTGTATATATTCAAGGTATACAATGTAAAGATTTGATATATTCATTGTATAATGATTACCACAAATTAATAGATCTATCACTACCCATGGTGTACATTAGATCCCATGAACTAGTTTATTTTATAACTTAAAGTTTGTACATCTGGACCAATATCTCTTCATTTCCTTCGTCCCTCAACTCTTAGTTGTACTCTAGTTGCCTACAATAGAAGATCTCAAGTCTTAGTAAAAGAGTTCTCAAATGCATGTTGAAACATAACTGATGATGATTTTGCTGTGCCTGCCCCACATCACACAGTAGCAACTCTCAGGAAACATGTTATTAAAAAAGCTTGGATTAACAAAGTGTGAAATATGATTTGTCAAGAACTATGTAATGTTTTGAACAACCAACAATAAAAATTAAAGAAAAAAAAAAAAAGAATACAACAAGGAATTGAACTCAAAAAAAAAAAATATATATATATAAAGGGCTAGAAATGCAATTTAGTGGTAAGGTGCCCCATGTGTCCAATCCACAGTATCAAAAAAGAAATAAAGAGAAAATAAATAAAAAGATAGTTGGCAACAACAACAACAAAAAAGCTTGGATTAAGTCTGTATCATGATAACTAGTGATAATGAGCAATGATGATTATCATCTGAGTTTACTCTATGTGTCAGGTGTTATGGTAAACATTTGATATTCATCATCTCCTTCAATTCTTATAATAATCATATAAGGTAGGTTCTATTACTATTTTACAAACACAGGGACAGTCTTGGGATAAGTAATTTTCTCAAATGATATAGCTAGTCAGTGGGGAGCCATTAAGTGGATTCAAATCCAAAGGCCATGTTTTTATAACTATGCTCTACTAGAATCTGAAGAGAAAGCTTCCAAACAATGGCACCAAAATAGACATATGTGAATTATGTTATTCACAACTTGTTATTAAATTTGAAGACAGATACTGATCTTTTGTTTGTTAAGGTCATGTGTTTCTAAGAAAAAAATCAGTAAACTCAAATTTGAATTCTATTCCGATTTGACAAGAATTTCTTAGGACTGGGAACTATCCTCATTTATAGTATTTAACTTGACCTATTCTTTGAATAATCTTATTATTAGAGCCACTGTTTCCACTAACTTCATTAACTCCCACTAACTGATGCATCAATCAGGAAAGAATGAAAAATTCTAGTGAAGGGAAGGGCATCGCTGACAGATGGGCTTTTTTTTTTTTTATTTTAGTTGTCAGAGTTAACAGGAGAAAATCCATTTTATTGATTTGAGGTATATCTATAGTAGGACAAGATGTAATTTTAAAATGAAAATTTTATGTGCTTGTAAATACTTTTCAATAACACAAGCGATTGATCACTGTTAAAAGCAGATACTCTTTTCTACTGAAACGGGCAGTTCTTACAAAATAATATAAACTCAGTAACAATCTAGTCTTTTAACTTCATATCCTATAGCTCCAAAATTCAAGAAAACGTCCTAAAACCAAAGTCACAGGCTGTCTGCAGTGAAATGACACCAACAGCTAGAACCTGTTGAGTATTTAATACTTTTTACCCAATTATTCCATAGTTTAAGTTATAAACTATGGAACAAAATTAGTTCTCATCAGATCATTTCTTTTTCACAAGAGTAGTTCAAGTTAAAGTGCAGCAGCCTGTTTTGGTTTATTTGTAACAAAGGGGTTAATAAACTCCTTAAGTCTTGAATTAGCTAAAGGAGAAACCATAGGACTGATGCTCAGCCCTCACAGGCACTCTCATTTGCAGAGCACTTTGCCAGTGTACCTCTGAAAGTCCGTTAGGTAGTCAGGACAGGTTTTACCTTGAAGCTACAACTGGGGCTAGGAGCTGGCTCCCAATGGAGCAGTAGCACAAAGCTAACAGCTTAACCTCGCCAGCCAAAAACTTTATGCGGTCATGAACGAAAACTCCTCATTTGATAGTTAAGCCCAGAGACACACTTACATCTGCATCTGAAATAAAACACTCCAAATTTGGAGTCCAGGACCCTCACACTGAAAGGTGCTGGACAGTTACAGTCCTATGCCAAAGTCTGGGAATGAATGAAGCCAAGATACCCTAGAAAACTTCCTGTCAAAACTGAAGGCAGAAGATCGCTGCCCTTCCTGCAGAGAAGTCAGGCTAACCATGCTCCTGGTTAGTACTGGAGTTCTTTCCGGCTTTCACTTTCTCCGCAGGCACTGGCCCTCCCCCCCACCCCCCACCCCCTTAACGCTTCTGTTTGTCAACAAGAGCATCTGGTCCTCTAGACCTGAGGCGGCGGCCGGACCCCCGCTCCCTACAAGACAGGTTACCAAAATCAGCGTCAGAGGGATCACAGTTTTCTCCTGTAGTACTTCTTACTCACCTCAGGCCCGGAAGAGTTTACCGCGACTACTTCACTTCAATGTCCGCCTCCTGGCGCTTCAAACTCCACTACAAGATTCAAAACCAAGCCAGCTCCTTCAGCGGCTCTTTTCATTGGCTGCCGTCCTCGTGACGTCACTACGTCTGACGTTGCCACGGCACGCTGCCTCTTGGCGCCAGGAGGCTCAGTGGCGCGGCGGGGTGGAAGCGGCTTTTCTGTGCGTCGCGGTGGCAACGCGCGGGGCGGTTTCCGGAGGCGGTGGCCGAGGTGGGCGGGGCTAGACCGGAGGTGCAGGTGGGAGACAGCCACCTGGGATCTTCACTCGGCCAACTGATCAGCAGGAGCAGGGCCCGGTCTCAGAGTTCAGGGTGTGAGTGAGATATTTTACCGGCAGGGGTTGGCGTGTGCCCTCGGCTAAGTGGAGAGGCGGAACCTGTTGGGTGTGGATTAATGGGTTTTGGATATTTATTTTCTTCTTTTCCCTCTCTGATTAGTGAGGCAGGGCTCATGCCTTTGGGGGCCTTTCCCCCCCGAATTAATTAGAAATCCAGGTCCCACGTTTAGAGGGCCCATGGCTTCATTTCTCAGTACTCCCGGGCCTACTACCTGGTTGAAGCTATTTGGTGTTTGCTTGCTTTTTACATTCTTTTAATGATGGCATTACAAAATAAATTTATTTAAAGCTATTGGCTTAGTTTGTTATTGGATGAAGTGATAATTTTTAAGTCTTAAGATTGTAGGTATTATTTCAGAATGTACACTTGAAAAAGACAAAAAGTACTTGAAAAAGAATGAGAAATATTTTTGCTAAGATAACTCGTCTCCCTTTGTAAAGATATTTAAATTTAAATTTTATTGTATTTTTGCAGTGCTGGGGATTGAACCCCCGAGCCTCATGCATGCTAGGCAAGCCTTCTGCCACTGAGTTACTGAGTAATTTGAATTTTATTGTTCTTCATATTACTGTTATTGTATTCTTTCAGCAAATATTGATTGTAGATTTTAGGGACACAGTAGTACACAGTAGGGTCAAAATCCCTACCTTCTTGGAGTTCATATTCTAGTGATCCAGTATCACTGTATATAAATAGGATGCGACAATGCAGACAATTATAGTGAAACAATGTATGGGTATCTCAACAGATTACGGATCCTATGATTCTTCAGTAGGCTGAAGAAAATCAGAGGCATTGTGTATTATATGTGATGCATGTTATATGGTTGTCTCTGAACACTGGGTAGATCATCAATAAAGCTACTATTTATTTCTCACTATTATATGCATTTTAGCTAATAGAAGTTATTTGAAGCTGGGTTTGGCAATAAAATTGAGAAACCTTTTTATTTTATTTTAAATATGTCCTTATTGTATGGTACTTTACCTTTGACATTTCAGGTATTTTATTAGTCACTTTATGTATTTTCTGATCTCATTTAATTATAAAAACAGCCCATGCAATGTATATATCATTACTTTCATTTTACCAAGAGAAAACAGAAGTTTCAGAATACCCATAAAGTAAAATACTTGAATTCTACAAACAAGCCAACTCAGAATCATTTGTTGCTGAAATACTTTTTAGGTTAAGTAACAGTAAGATGATATCCTAATCTGAAAATATGCATTTCTTACCATATTCTTATAAAATTGCATTTATTTTTGGTGAATAAGTAAATGTAAGTATTTTTAAATTTCATCAGTTTTGACATGCACATTGTGTTGGCTTATCAGTTTTACAGCTGTTTCCACACCTCATTCAAGTATTTATTTTTCATTTAACTTCAGTTCAGCTACACTTGCCATATAGCAGTGTTGAGACGTAGACTGTATTCTTAAGGAATCTTATATTTGATTAAAGCAGACTGATTTTGACATTACAATCAATGCCATACTGTGCCAGCTGGCTAGTCTTAAGTTTGGCAAGATATTAAGGAGGTATAACATAGGAAAAGAAAATGGGTATTTTGTAATGAAATGAAGGAAAATAGAATCCAAACTTTCCAACCATGTAGAGCTAAGGAAACATAAGTTCCCACATTTTGTTAGAAATTGGAGTACTTTATAATTTACAGTCATGTTATTGGACCACTAATTTATTTTCATAGTAAATCAAAGAGTAAAGGAGAGAATGGAAAGTTAGATTTAAAGTTGCCTCAGACATTTTAAAAAAGATGTAAAAGCGAATTTAAACATGGCAATGGTGAGGTCTTATTTATTCCCCCCAGGAAGGTCCTTTGGAAACTTCAGCGCCTGCAAGACTCTTTCACAGCTGGGGCTGGAAGCAACGGAACGAAAGGCGGACGGTCGTCTGTTGCTGGGGCGGACCTGGGCTCAATTTGTCCGTCCTTGCAAGATTCCCCCAGGGCTGGGAACTAGACGTGTAGCCCTCTCAGGTTCTCCGGCACCATAGTGGTCGTCACTGGCCCAAGTTAGAGGCCGACTGAGAAATCTTCGTGCCTCAGGTGAGGAGAAGGTGGCCGAGTTACCGGTGCTCTTTTGGAAAGCACTGTGCCTTAGGGGAACTCCTAGGAGGTCGCTTGATTCGCCTGGGCACAGAATCCACGCCTCTCCTCAGCACGCTTTCCTCCTGGGTTTTCCCAGCAATTTTCTCTTGTCAGAGTATAATTCTTGGGCAAAAGGGTGTATTCTTCCATTTCTTTAGAACCTCTTTCACTTTGTCAGCGTTCGGGTGCCAGCCTCCAGGTCGCGTTTTTTGCATTAAGCATTGCCTTTTGAAACAGGATTTCCGTGCAGAGGAAAACTGATTAATGATGGTAATTGTTAGCACCGTGAGGAAGTAGTCTTTACAGGCATCACTTATTTTTTTTTTTTTGTTCCCACAATTAAAAGACTCACCTCGCCAATTTTGTGTCCTTAATTACTAAACTGAAGTTTGCGGTAGAGAAAAGTTCAATGAATTTGCTTTGAACATCATACAGTTTGCTCCTGAGTCTAGGTTTACTGATTGGGCTTGGTTCTCTGAACACAGGAAACTTAAAAACAATCTTAAATGATTTAAAGTGGTGGGTTCTTAGACAAACACAGGAGGACTCTGGATAGTCTAGTAGGACACTGTTACAGAAAATGAACTCCCTTTACAGCTTTCCCTCTTACATTTAAAAGAAAGTATTCTAGGAAACAACCAAAGAGGAAAATGAGTCATTTGTAGCCCTTTCTCCATGTTGACCAAGTTAGTAGGCAATCAATTCATGGTTAAATTTTAAGTCTTTGTGCCTTGAACAATGAATAAATATATAGGAACTGAATACAGTAGAAAAGAATCATATGCTGGCTATAGCATTCTTAAAAAATCTATTCTTGTACTTGTTTTTTCCCACATAGTTCAGATTCCTATGTTAGAAATGACGCTTCCTTTAAAAACAATTTTCAAAATCAGGACATAGAGTGTAATTCTGTTAAATATTCCAGATTCCACTGTTTAGGCCTATGGCAATATGTTTTCTATTAGCTACCCCATTCTTATTTCCATCTGAAGCAAGAAAATTGAATTCATGAGATACTACACATACATAGTCAACATAAGGTATCATTAAATTACATGAGTGCATTAAATAGTTCCTGTGGGTGAAATTTATGGCATGGGGATTAAGACTTTAGACTCTGGGGATAGACTGCTTATATTATATCTCTCTAGCTATGTGAACTTTGACAAATTATTCATCTGTAAAATGGGATGAATAATATCTAACTCCAAGAGTTATATGAAGAATTAAATGAGTTAGATCATGTAGTGTTATTAAAGTAAGTAGTACGTAGTGCTAAATAAATGTTAGGTATTATTTTGAAAAATTTTAGATACAGTAAGTTAAAGAGTAGTTAGAATTGCTTTGTATACATAATTAACAATTTGGCCAGTTTGTTGATGGGTAATATCCAGAAATTTATTTAAAAATCTCATTTCTAATTTATCTTTTTGTGACTACATTTTTTTTCTATGTCACATAACCACATAATTCTGGGGATGATAAAAAAATTGACTTTAAGGTAACAACTCATTCATGTTACATATGTATAATGTCAGATATTTGTGTTCCATGGTTTTAGTCAATACATGTGATTAATTCTTCATTTTCTATTGCAAAAGGAAAGTAAGATATATTTAAGTGTAATTTTGAGACCATATTTTTTTTGGTGGAGTCAATCAGGTGAAATTTCCTAAAGCTAGGATAGATAAAAATGTTTATTCTGTAGAGTCTGGAATTTATCTATCCAATCATTTTTTTTTTCCTAGGAATACTTATTAAGTACATAGTGTACACCAGATTTCTATGGATATAAGGGTATAGGTCTTATTCTTAAATCATTCAATCTATAAGGAAAGAAGAGTATGATTAATTAGATATTTATTATGGTTGTATTAAAAACATCAATTGAAGCCTGTTGCATAAAACAGTGTTTTCAAAAGGTTTTCTGTTAATGTTTACACAAATAACATTTTCCCCCTCTGCATTTAAAAGAATTAAAATTGCAGAAGAAAATAGAACACATCTAAGAAATTCAAGAAATGTGTCAATTATTTAATTACTTGATCTTGGGGCACAAGGACAATTAGAATGTGGGGGGTCTAGGGCTGAAGCATAGAGGTTGAGTGTGTATGCTTAGCATGAGTAGGCCCTGGGTTCAATCCCAAGTATCAAAAAAACCAAACACACAAAAAAAGGGGGCTATGAAATGCCAAGATGTGTTCAATTGAGTTTAGTTGTTGTTTAAATGGATATATATACTCCACTGATACAAGCTGTGGTGAGATAATTTCTTCAGAGACTGTCCAAGAGAACTATGCAGTATTTTCAGAGACTGATCATCTTTTTTTGATTTACATGTCTGGCCTTTTTTCAGGGATAGTCACTCCTACAAAGGTAAATTAAACATGAAAATTTAACAATATGGAAAAAAAACAAATAAAAGATCTTGAAATAAAAGATCACCTTAACATAAACTAGGATAGTCATAATCCCCTCAGTCATCCATAAATAATTTTGACTCATCAAATCCACTCTTTAGAACCAATTAAAGTTCAAAAACGTGAAAAATGATTACTGAATAACCACTTTTCATATCCTCATGGTTAAAACACTAATGGTCTTAGAACTTATCAGGCAACATTAAAAATTATATTTGAATTATGATTCTGCATTCTCTTAGAGTCCTTGTTTCATATAAGGAGGTTAGTCACCTTACTTATTCACATAATGACTCTTACTTTTTTTTGGTGTATTAAATAGTTCATATTAATTTGCTTTTCCATAAGTATAACATTCTTCTTAAAAATCCAACAATTATCATTTTAAATTTCTTTTCTAGACTTGTTGAACTACAGAATGCTTCGATACCCATATTTTTGTAGAATATTTAGAGAATATTTTTCATGCTGGTTGAAATCTGGCATACATAATTTAGGTGTTTGGCCAAAAAAAATTCATACTACAGCAGAAAGATATAATGAAAATGAAACCCAGGAGCAAACAGATCTAACTGGAGATCAGGAGTTACAGAGATCTCAAGATATAGATTCTGAAGCCATGGCCAAATTACATATTCCAGTAATGGTGGATGAAGTTGTTCATTGCTTGGCACCAGAAAAAGGGCAGGTGAGTAGATTTTTTAACCGTTTTTTTTTTTAATTGAGATAATTCCACCAGTTGTAATACTAGTCATTTTAAAGTGTATAATTCAGTGGTTTATAGTATATTCATATGAGGCTGTATCGTCATCACTACTATCTAATTCAGGAAGAGTCTTATCACTCCAGTAGGAAACCTCATACTCATTGACTTTCCATCCCCATCCTTGACAAACATTAGTCTATTTTTTGTCTTCATGGATTTGCTTATTCTGACATTTTATAGAAATGGATTCATATAATATTTGGCCTTTTGTATTTGCCCTCTTTTACTCAGATTTTGAAGGACATTTTGCCCCTTTTATAGGATTACGTACTTTGTTCCTCCTTTTGTTTTTGCAAGGTGGGGAAAGAGGCTGGTGCTAAATGTCAAATACAAAGTCTTGTACATACTAGGCAACATCTCTACCACTGGACTACATCTCAGCCCTACTTTTTTTTTTTTTTTTAATGGCTGAATCATTCCATTGCATGGATATGTCTTATTTTCATTATTCATTTATCAGTTGATGGGCATTGATATTTTTTTACCAGTTGGTAGCTGTTGTGAATGTGATTGTTACAAGCATTTGTGTACAAGATTTTGTACATATCTTTTTAATTCTCTTCAGTATATGTGTAGGGTAAAAATTTTTCCATGCTTAATTCTTTGAGGATCCACCAGATAATTTCCCAGAATTGATTTTTTTTTAAAATTTTTTGTCAAATCATAGTTTAAAAGGAATGTTGGCACAAACTGGTTTTCTTAACCTTAGTTTTCTCATTGCCTCCTGTATTAGTCAGGGATCTTCAGAGAGACAAAACCAATCGAGAGAGAGAGAGAGAGAGTATTTGCACATTTGCATGCATGTATGCTACTCCATTTTCTACTACTATAACAAAATACCCAGGGGCTGGTATCTCTTATCAACAAGAAATTAATATATCTCACAGTTTTGGGGGCTGAAAGTGCAAATAGCCTGGCACCGGCTCTTGTGAGGTCTCCATTGGGTATTTGGCAGCATGGTAATGGCATTATGGGGGAAACACATGTGGGAGGGAGAGATCACCTTGTGAGACAGAAAGGTAGAGCATGAGGAAAGGCCATTCTTGTTCTTTTTATTGCAATCCTTTTGGACGAAATGCATCTATTCCTTATGAGAGCAGTGCCCTTAAAGACTTATATTTTCTCTGTCTGCCCCACCTCTTAAAAGTTGAACCATCTTTCAACATTGCCATACTGGGGACCACACTTCCAAAATATAAACCCTTGGAGTGCAAACCACAGAGGGGTGTGTGTGTGTGTGTGTGTGTGTGTGTGTGTTGTGTTAGTTTTTATGTAGACAGTAGTTCCCTTTTTATCCACAGAGGACACATTCCACAATCCTCAACGATGGATACTACTGAATTTTATACATATTATGTTTAACCTCAGCATTTGATTTTTTTTTTTTTTTACTTCTTATTAAGTTGGGAACATTTTACCTTTTTGCTTAAAGGAAGCACCTTATGGCTTTTCTTTGGCATATCTAAATTATCAGTACTCTGGTTGCTATTGTTAAGTTTAACAAGGTTTACTTGAATAAATATACCAATGCAACATGGTGACAATTGATCAAATCATCAAGGTCAACAGAGGATGAGTGTACACAGCGTTAGATACACTGGACAACCGGGTGAGTCATGTCCGGAGCAGACACAGTAGAATGGTGGTGGAATGCTGTGAAATTTTCATCGCACTATTTGGATTGCTGCACACCTTAAAATTTATGAATAGTTTCTTTCTTTTTTTTTTTTTTGATACTCGGGATTTAACCCAGGGGTGCTTTATCACTGAGCTATATACCCAATTCTTTTTATTTTTTATCTTGACACAGGATCTTGCTAAATTGCTGAGGCTGGCCTCAAACTTGCAGTCCTCCTGCCTCAGCCTCCCGAGTGGCTGGAATTAGCAGGCGTGTATTACCACAGTGGTTGTTTATTTCTGAAAGAAATCAGAGGTTACCATGGTCAACTGAAATTGTACAAAATGACACTACAGATAAGGGATGACTAATTGTGTGTTTGTGGTCAGGGGAGAGAAAAAGATTGAGATTGAGATTTTAAAGAATTGTTTCTTGTAATTGTGAATTCCTTCATCTGGGGGTAGGCTGGGACACTAGAGACACAGGGAAGTAGAGTTAAAGTTGGAGTCCAAAGGCAGTATGCTGGTAGAATCCCATTTTATTCCAGTGCGGGTCAGTCTTTGGTCTATTAAGTCTTTTCACTGTTTGGGTAAAGACTATCCACATTATAGAGGGTCAAGTTTCGGGTACTGTGTCCCAAGCAAGTTGATGTTAGAATTAACCATCCTATCTATCTTATAGTATTGCTAGCAGGATTAATAAGGTTTTTATTTTATCATCTAACAAAAACATTAGATGATAGAATATCCAAAAAAAAAAAAAGAAAAGCTGTAAACTTTTCTGATAATTAAGTACATTCACAAATGAAAAATTTATCATAGCAAGTTTTCTTTAAATATCTGCTTATAACTTAATACTGACAATATTCTTAGTGTACTAACTTCAGAAATAGAATCCTTTATTCTAAAAGATGTTTTTTCCTGTCACTTTTTGTTTTTTCATTTTAAAAGTCACACCTTTCTTCTTTTTACCAACATACAGGAGAACATATAAGTTTAGTGTAGATTAAGAGGAAAGATTCTTTAACTGGACTGATTTGGTCCAAATCTATACATGTGCACAAATGCACAGTCACACAGAGCCCTTAAGTTCTTGTCTGTTTGTTTTTGAGTCTTTGAGTCAGATCATATACAGTTTTTTAAAAATTAAATTAATTATTTATTCTAATTTGTTATACATGATGGTAGAAAGCAGTTCATTTCATATTACACATATAGAGCACAATTTTTCAAGTCACTGATTTTACACAAAATATTTTCACCATTTGTGTCTTCATACATGTACTTAGGGTAATGATGTCTAACTCATTCCACCATCATTCATGCAGTTTTTTAAATTTTTTTTTTAGTTGTAGGTGGACACAATATCTTTATTTTATTTATTTATTTTTATGTGGTGCTGAGGATCAAACCCAACGCCTTGTACTAGGCGAGTGCTCTACAGCTGAGCCACAACCCCAGCCTTGGATCATGCAGTTTTAATTAACTTAAGTTCTAAAATATATGCATAAGGTAATATGTACTAGGTTGACTAGATGTTGCTCATATACAAGTCATCAGTGACAGAAAGTGGGTTTGCTTCATCATCAAAATATTCTTTTCCTAACCTCACAAAGTATATACATAACAATAAATCACACATTCTTTTTTTTTTTTTTTTTTAAGAGAGAGAGAGAGAGATTTCTTTTTTTGTAGATGGACACAACACAGTGCTTTTATTTTTAGGTGGTGCTGAGAATCGAACCTGGGTCCCACCTGTGCTAGTCCAGCGCTCTACCCTTGAGCCACAATCCCAGCCTCATCACACATTATTAAATGAGTTTAATTGTGTAAAGTATCTAGCTTAATGCTTTTACATAGTAGGGGCTCTAAAATACATATACATAAAATGTAAATTTAAAAATTGGGTAAAATGTTCTGTTGAATTCAACTATCAAATGAAATTCTCTTCATTTTCTTTAGAGAGTCATAATGCAGAAATAGCAATCAAACCCCACAAGTGTAAATTTTTAAGAAGTATGTTCAAATATATATGAGTTAGTTTGCAGACACCCAAACACACATGAGAGTAGGGGGACTATCATATCTGTATCTTTAATTTCACTTCTGGAATCTGAAAAACCAAAACACATTGTATCTATTTACTGAACCCTAGTAGCAAAACTAAATATTTATTTTGTATTAGCTAGTGGAAAAAAAAAAAAAAAAACCAACAGAAAGAAACCCTACTAAATCTCCTAAGAACTCTTTATTGTATCTGTTTGTTTTCTAAAACCCAGTGAAGTAAAATTAGATGATTCTAAAATTTGACCTACAGTGCTGTTTTATTCTGTTCAAATTTGTGACAGATGTAATTTTTTTTGACATTTCCATTGTTCTGATTCAAGATGGGTTTTCTAGTAACTTTTTATAGAAAGTTTAATTTTATGAATATAGTTTTTGAAAACTTTCAAGTGAGATGAACTTAGAGACAATGTTATTCTTACATTTTTGGCTGTCTGGCAGACAGCTTTATTCCCTATTCCCTTAATCTTCAAGTAATAAAGAACTGGTGACAGCCCTTGGACAGGAAAGGTCTTCATCTCATCCAGAATCCATTATTTGCTTCTTTTCTTCCTGAGCCTTTTTCCCCCCAAATCATTTTCCTTAGCAAACTATGAGTCATACCTTCAGTCGTATCAATCACCCACTTAATTACTGTTTTCCACATCACCTTCAATGATGAATTCACAGATGAAACTTTTGATCACAACCAAAAGTTTTAAAAATATTTAAATGTTGTTTTAAATGAGGTTTAAGGCATGCAAAAGTTACTTTTTTTTAATGTTTAAAAGTTATGTACCTAAAGAAAATATTGATTTCGGGAATTTATTCAGAATCATTGCCAATTTACTACATATTAGTTTTGCCAGTACATTTAAAATATTTGCTAGTTTGAATTATAAGAATCCTCTTCCATTACCTTGGAAGGTATAGAAAGAACTAAATAAATTATAATAGTTTCCTCTTGCTTAGTTTTAATTTCATATTCTGGCTGAATAACTTTTTGTAAGAATGTGTTAGTTATCTAAAAACATACCTCTTGTTCCTGAAATGCTTTACTCCAAGCAATATTGATTAATTTTTTTTATTCCTGATTACTGAAAACTGGAGAAATTATACATTATCTTTTTTTGTAGTTTGAAATCATAGATAACAGCTTAAGATATAGGAGACTTGGAATTCTTTGCCCAATAGTAGTACTAATTTAGTTTGGCACATGTGGCTTCTATATAATTGATTGCCAGTAGCTGTGTAGTGTAGAT